TGAACAAACGCCTAATTTGAAATTCAAAGAAAGTACCATATTTTTGGGAGTATAAGACGCACCTTTTCCCCTCAAAAAAGAGGCTGAAAATCTGGGTGTGTCTTATACACTGAATAGCCATCTAATGGGACAAAACAGAGGAGCTAAGAAAACATTTAACTTTAACAGTAATAGGTATGCTCAAAATAAATAAAACTATTAATAAAACAAATGTAATAGTGACAATGGCATGAAGATATTAGTTAAACATTTCATGGAAACTCTACAGTTATATACTCACTATTTTTGCTCCTCTTTTTTGTTCATTTTTTGGTCTTGCAGTCTTTTTCCCCTCAATATCTATAAACATTAAAAGCACCATGTAAATAAAATGTTTTTCCCTGTAGACCAACCATGCTCTTTATTCTTGTATTTCAACAGCACGATTTGGTAATAAAGCATGTATTTATTAATAAAAATATATAAGTTATTGACTTGTTTACCCATTTAACTTGACAATCATACTTCTCGAATTTTTTAAAAAAAAGCCTAGATACAACTCTTTCTTTACTTTAGATTGGCTCTCTTGACTAAGAAATCCAAAAAGTTTGGGAAAATCAGTCAGATAAATATACAGTTTGCATTGCTACCTCAGTTCCTGTACCTCGTTTTTTAAAAATCGAGCAAGACGTATTATTTCAGCCCTGCCTCATAGACTGACTATATTCTCTATCAACATCAGAAGAAACCAAGATCCGAAATGCTAGCCTTATTGAGGCAGTCTATCTCTACAGAGGATGGGAACATCTGAAAAGCCTATGAGACAATAAAAAGAGATCTCTGCGAATGCTCTGGCCTCTTAGTTCTTCTTTACGCTGAGCAGAGATCTGAGAGGACTGTCTCCCCATGCTCTACTTACATACAAGTGAATCTCTTTTCAGGCCTTCCTCCTCAATCCAGCCTTGCTGGGAAGTGAAGGCTAACCTGAGGCAGCTGAGTCAGGACAGGATGCTCACACCTAATTACAGAATGAACACCTCTGGTTGTGGGGGAAAACCTGAGTAGGATTTCTGCACTGCTGTAATTAAAGTGCAAGAAGTTTTGATTATCTTTTCAAGTGTTTGTTAACATAGCTGTACCACCTTCGTCTTTACGTATCCGATTGTAGACCATTTGGAGAGAGAAGTCTCTGGACAGAGAGCTTATTGCGTCATCTTGGAAAATAGTTAGCGCTTCCAAAGGTAAGTCCAGAAGATCTTTATCTGCCAATAGAATCACACACTCCCCTATGTCTTCGGCACCTGATGAGAACCGAAAAAATTAGGTCAACCACTGACAGATGCAGAAGAATTGAAAATAAAATCTCTTGGCATTTTCCTTTCTGTTCAAATGAACTAATTTTGTTTTCATTCTTAAATTTTTAAACCTGTCTGATAAGGTTGGGGATATAGTATATGTTACGAGGTAGAAATATATTTGATTATTCATGTAATAACTGCAGCTAGAATTGAATTTGCACAAAGTTGGAAAGCTGAAGAAATCCCTAAAGACGAACATGTGATTAAGAAAATATTAGATTATGCAGAAATGAGTAGATTAACACTAGCAATTAAAGGAAAGGAAGAAGATGATTATTTTATCATTGGTTAGAAAAATATGGATAAAAATTAAATAATTTAAGAAGAGAAATATTATAACAGGAGATTTGTTAAGTTGTAATGTTAAAATAAGAATACACACACACACACACACACACACACAATTAGTCTCTTGATTAAGAAATCTAAAATGTTTGGGAAATCAGTCAGATATACAGTTTGCATTGCTACCTAACCAGGAAAGATTCTGGAAAAGATAATCAAGCAATGAATTAGCGAACACCTAGAAGTAAACGAAGTAATAGCCAAAA